CCTGTGAAGCTTAGAAAGGTGAGAAGAAACCCCAAAGTCAGCAGATGTGATTGATCTCACATTAAGTCTTCTCTCTCACAAGGGACATTAGTAGCAAGCATGGTGGACAGAGGTTAATACTATTACTTTATAAAATGCTTGTAAGTATTGATGGGAAAAGCACTTGGGACTCACTTGGTGAATGGACCAGGGACTTGGTTCACGGCAGCAGGTTCACGCTCTTCAACGACAAGGTCAGAGCGTCAGTCTGCGGGGAGCTGAATAGTTCTGGGCACGTCACATGTGTGCTCCTTAGTTCAGCTTTAGAAACCCCACAGAGATGTTAAGTAAACACCAGCAGAGAGGGATGGAGCCCGGATATACACATTTATCTTCTGGACATGGCACTGAAGCTCTGAAGAGTGCAGGAGTGTATGTGCATGCGCAAGGGTGTGAGCACATGCGTCCATTCCCAGGGCTCCTGGCAGAGCACTACAGACTCCAGTGTCTTAAAACAATAGAAATTTCTCATGCTCTGAAGGCTACAGGTCAGTCAGCGTGTTGACGAGGCCATGCTCCCTCTCATCGTCTCCTCTCTTCCGGGAAGTACCCTTTGTGGCCTCTTTCTGATCCCCTGGCAGTGGTTGGCAGTCCTTGGCTTGTAGCTGCATCACTCTGGCTTTACCTTTTTTCTTGTATTCTCTCTGTGTGCTTTGTGCTTCTCCTTAGGAGGACACCAGTCATTGGCCATAGGGCCCCCTCCAGTGTGACTCATCTAGACTTGATTACATTTGCACGCTGCACATTTGGGCACGTTTCCTAGGTTCTGGGTGGGCAGGGATTTTGGGAGGCACTGTTCAGTCCATCCTCTGCCTACCCTGTCCCCATTTCTATCCTTCCCATATACAAAACGAATTAATCCCTTCCCCGCCTCTCCAAGTCCTATCCTATTCCAGCATAGAATTCCAAAATTTCTTCTGAGTATCATCAACTCAGAAAGTTCCCAATCTCATCCTGTGAATGGTCTAACTCAGGGAGAGGTGAGGCTGATTAGGCTCCGCACTGAGGCAGAATTTCCCCTTCCTTCAGTTAACCTGTCAAACCAGAAAACAAACCAGCTCCTCCTGTAACACTCTTGAACTGGCATAGGATAGACATTCCCATTTCAAAAGGGAGAAGTTGGAAGAAAAAAGGGAAAACATGGGTCCCACACAAGTTTGAAGTCCAGCAGGGCAAATTACCTAAGATTTCAGGGCCTGAGAATAGTCCTGGGTGTCTACACCCTGCCTTCAGGGTCCTTCCGTTTCCTTGAAGGACAATACGTTGACAGCCGAGGAGTCCTGTCCTGGCTCTGTAGGCCCATGTGTTGACATTGTATGTTGAGAAGGGAGCATTTATGTAAACATGAAGAGCAGCTCGCGTTCAGGACTGCCCGTGTGTGGGGTTCCCAGCCCCACACAGAAGTGACAGTTCCCACTTCTGTCAGTGTGCTGAGGGCCTGCAGAGCTGCTTTGTTGGGAGGGTCCTAGAGGCTTTGTGCACTCACTGGTGAAGCCCACTGTGAGTAGCTCAGACAAGTTTGCTTTATTTTGGGTTTGTATCTGGATAAATTCTCAAGTGAGCTGGTAAATCTTAGGTTATTGTGTACATACTAAATTTGGAAATCTGTCCCTTCCCATAGAAGTGGGGATGTGTGTAATCCAGTATTTAGAAAATGACACTACTAGAATTTCTAATATGACTTCCTGTCAAAAGTTCAATGTTGTTATTTTGAAGTGCGTTCATGGACATTGCTCAGCCCCGCTTAAAATCACAGATCCTTTTTCTTTAAGGAAGAAAGGTGAACTGCACCTGCAATGCTGGTGTAGATACACATGGTGACTTTGTTTGGAGGCCAGATTGATGCAGGTGGGCTTTGAGGTTCTTGGATTAGTAGGATTTTTTTTTTTTCCCCAGAGGCTTGCAGTAGCAGCTAGAGGCATTTACTGTAAGTTATTTCGTTGTGGGTCATTACTATATGTTTCATGAACTTCCCAGTTGCTCTGTGGTCATGATTAGTTGATCATTGTGGACACTTAGTTAATATATACTGCTTTTCCTAAAGATTAAGCTTTGGGGGGGGTGGAGGGGGAGGGACCTTGTTTCTGTAAACTTGGTTAGTCTAGAATGATAGAAGTTTTGAGTCCTTTTATCTCTCTCACTATATATTGTTTGTTCTCAAACATATAGTAGGATGATTAAATCAAAGACTGTATTAGGATTTTCCACATCATATGGCTGATAATTGTGCTTACTTCAGATAGTTTGAGGGACAGATGTGTTCTGGTATTTCCTAGTGATATTTTTTTTTTCTTTAAATTCTAGTGTCCTAGATACAAACTGTATCTAACACTTCATCCACTGTGTATTTCCACTGTGGTGCCACACTGTGGCGCTGTCGTGCTTTGGCTGAATAGTCACAAACTCCTGTCAAATCTCTTATTTTGAGGAATGCATAAGATGCTCTCAAAGTATATGAAAACACACTCATTGGATACTGTTTTAGCTGTGTATAATCAGTTTGTGATTGCTTTCAGTGATTGTGCTAGATTGCTTTTTATGTTAATCAGTTACTTTTTTATTAGCATGCATATTTAAATTTTTTTCCTTGATTGCCCCATTTTATTTAAAAAATCAGAGGGCTTTTTGAAGGTTATGAAGAAACCAACAAAATGAGGCTATAGAAGACAATGGGCATGTATTTTTTAAGTATGGCTTTTTGGGTAGTATTCTATTGAAGCTACAGTTTACTCAGAATATGCAATAGTCTTCCAAATCCAAGGTAACTTTTTCACCATTGTTACTGTTCTGTGCCAGAATCTGTTCAAGAGGAAAAAGTTTATGATTTCTGTAGATATGGTGCTCCCAGGACTTGAAGTCTGCAGGTTTACTTTTGTCACTTTTGCAAGCCTGCTGTCTTTGGTGTGTTTTCTCAAGCCAGCATGTGCTAGTTTGCTTGCTTTTTGTTAAAAGTTTTAATCAGGGGAATAAAGGAAGGTATTGGGGAGGAAGAGGTCCATGGCTTGAGGAAGAATCCCTTACCCCAGGACTCCAGGATCATTTTAGTATTTCAGTGCTGTTACGTGAAATGACTTTGTAGCTTTACTGGACTACTTTCAGGAAATACTAGTCTTTTAACAATATGAGTAGATACAAACAGCAAATATTAGTTGGATTCATAGAATATATTGAAATGTATTTTTGAGAAGAATGAAGTACCGGGGAGCAGAAAGATCAATTAAATGAGCTCGATGAACCTGAAAGTAAATGAGAGTGTTTGTCTTGATCTGTAAGGGACCACATATCACTCATTGTAGGGTCATCAGAAATATTTCCTGGCTAAACAAGAAGAGACTCTTGACTCTGTTAAAGTGGGAATGGTAGGGGAATCATGAACAGTTGTGTGGAAGGACCTGACTTTTAATATTTTCAATAAATAATTGAAATAAATAACATTTAAGTATTCAATAAATAAATTCAATATTTATTGACAGTACTTTGGGAATAGTACTTTGTTCCTGTAGGAGAAATCGTAAACTGTCTTTGGAGATGAGAACCAGGTCTGTTCTGCTCATCATGATATCCCTAGCATCTAGCACTTGGGTGTTTTCAGAGTGAATGATCATCATAGGAGCCCTAATTGTTGAATCCTTGTGCGGTGAGTTGGCAATAAAGTGCCAATAAAACATTAAGTAGAGGGATTTGGCATCTTTTTTCTTGAGAGAAGCTTCTAATGCCCATATACAATGTGGTGGAGGCTGTCACATCAAACATTGTAATCGATCAGTTGGAGCGTCAGATTTTAGAGCTAGGTATTTCGGAAATGGTAGACAAACTGTGTTAACACAGTCTGCAGAAGGAATACCTTAGGAGATTGTCTTCCTGGAAAATAATGTGGTCGTGAGTGAAGGACCTAGGACAGTAGACCATTAGGAAGTAACTTAACCACATAATAGTTAAGTTCATTTATTCATATAGTAAACATTTGTGATTCATCTCCTTGGGCTATGGAGGCTGATGGTGTGTGAGGCCAGGAACCAGCACTAATCAGTTTGTAACTGTTTTAGGCATGTTTGTGTAACATTCATACATAATCTGCATATTTGTAGAGTAAATAAATGAATAACAGTAGAAATGTCTTTCTCAGTGGTAAAGATAGACAAACCACATAGTTCTATTTTGGAAAAATGTAATATGAAAAGCATATCTTGTAATTTTAGTTGGCATCTTAGCTCTTAATTCTGAGAATTGGATCTTTGAGTTCTTTTGTTATTTCTGTTTAGAATGCTCTGTAATACTTTGTCTACATAGAACTGGGTGTCATTATTTTTAAAATGAGGTTATTTCACGGGAGCATCCCCAAAAAGACAAAAAAAAGCTGGAGATGTCAAATAAGAAAACATGTTGAGAGACCATTATTTTGAAGGAAATAAGCATATGTTAATTTTCCAAAGTGGTGATCTTAGAATAAAAACAAAAGAATAATCCTCAGCTTGTTTTTTTAACCTGTTCTCAGAAACTTATAATAAAGAAATTGCTGTTTTTCTTTTTTTCTTTTCAATACCAAAGTAAAAGTGTAAGCCCCAAAGGATATCTATTTTAAGAGTGTTTGTTGTGGATTTCTGATACTCTACCACATATAGGAAATTTTCTCTTAGTTACATAGAATTTATACCACATTTGGTTGCTAAATTGTATCAGATTTTTGGAAGGTATCTGTTGATATAACCATGTGTGGGTTTTTTTCCTTAATTATTTAATAAGCTGCAGAATTTCACAACTTCTATTGTGCTCCTTTTTCTGGGCTAACCGCTGTTGGTCACTGTGTATTATTTTAATTCCCAGCTTTGCTTTGCTGACATTTTGTTAAGGATTATTGTGATTATATTCAAAAGTAAGGTTGGCTTGTAGCTTTTACTCTACTCTTAACAGTTCTGGTGCTAGAGTAGCTATTTTTAATTCTGTATTTCCTCAATCGGCAGGTCGTGGTTCAATTCCAGAATTCTTCCATATTATGAAAAGAAAGTTTACCAACAAAGAATGGGAAACAATCAGAAGCTTTAAGGATGAATGGACTCAACTGGATATGTTTTACAGGAATTGGGTATAATTTCTTTCAAATTTTGAGAGTAAAAGTCTATGGTGATCCATTACCTTCACTAAAAATGGGAGCAAAAGTCCTTTGGTCACCCAGTAGTTCCTAGAGTGTTTGAAATAAATGGCTGATTACTTGGGAGCTTCATGATTTTTGTGCGTTGTTATGTCATAATGCCATTTAAGAAAATCAAACGTATAATCAGTGTTCAGTTAGAAAGTACTTGGCTAAAGCTAAAGCAAGACCTTTTATTTATCACTGTTTATAAATAATGGTTAATGTTTTTGTTTTCAAAGGAACTCCTGTACATGACGCCCAATTTAACAAACACTAATATAATATTTACTGCATGCCTGGAGACATGTGCTTTTCATAAGTTAAGCAATTAACTATCATGACAGTGCTGTAAGGAGGTCTGGTTAGGATCATGTTTCATGTGACACAATGGAGGCACCAGGAGATTAAATGATTGACCTTAACATTGCACATCTGGCTTTACTCTGTGCTACTATAAGCATAAAAATAGTAATAGTTTTTTTAAGATTTTATTTATTTGAGACAGAGAGTGCATGCATGAGAGAGAACATGAGCAGGGGGAGGGGCAGAGGGAGAGGGAGAAACCAGACTCCCTACTGAGAAGGGAGCCCAACACCACATGGAGGGCTTCACTGGGGACTCCGGGATCATGATCTGAGCTGAGAGCAGTCATTAACTGACTGACCCTCCCGGGCACCCCAAAAATAATTTATAGCTCTAATGTAGCACAGAATTAAAGATCCAGTTGCTTTGGGCCTGTTTATGGAAAGTTTTACCTGCTGAATGCTCTAACAAGAGAAAAAAAAAATCTCTATTTTAGGCACTGAAAGAAAGCTTCATAAAAGCCATTGGTGTTGGACTAGGCTTTGAATTGCAAAGGCTTGAATTTGATATATCCCCATTAAATCTGGATATCGGCCAAGTTTATAAGGAAACACGTTTGTTCCTGGATGGGGAAGAAGAAAAAGAATGGGCATTTGAAGTAAGAAATTTATCACATTTATTATAAAAATTTTCTTATTTTGTGCAAATCTGCTATTTGTTTGGGGAGGCTGGTGGTTGAAACTAGGTAAAACTGGAATCCACTGTGGGTGCTTGGAAGGTGAGATTGGGGATACTGTGAAAGCATGTAACTTTAAGCTGATCCTTAAAAGAGAAGTCTTAGTGAGTTAAGTCAAATGAGAAGGGAAAAGTGGCCCTGGCATAGAAAGTGCTTTTTTTGTATGAATAGCCAAAGGAAGCCACTTTGTACCATGAGGAGGGGATTTGAGAGAGAGTCCAGGTTAGACTACTAAGATCATGTAAGCATTATTGGCTGGGTTAAAGATTTTGTCTCTTTCTGTATTTGGTTTCTGTCACTAGCAGTTCTTGGTTGCTAGAGGGAGAAACCCACCACAACTCATTTAAGCCAAAAAGCCAAAAATACAGTATTATAGGCTGTTAGAGTGATTCATATAACCAGGCCTAGAAATAGCTGGAATTCGGAACTAGAAAACTCAGAAATCTCTTATCTTTTACTTTTTACTTTCAATATGACCTGGCTCAGTTTATTAGAGACCGAAAATTCTAGCTTGGACATGATCGAGAATCCATTACTTATTGTTACAAATGCAAAGGACTTTCTACTTAATCTGAATATTGTATCTCACACCTGGAAAAATAATGCCCTAAAAAAAAAAAAAAATGAAATCTTAGGTCAAGAGGAATGTCATCTTTTATAGGATCTCTATTTCTATAACAGTTGCTGAGGAAGTTCAGCACCAAGGCGTTCCAAATAATGAGGCTGGATGAAATAGAAATTATTTACATTGAAAGGAAAGTGGTTAAAGAAGTAGATATGTGTTAATATTTAGGACAGATACACTTTTCAGTACTTTGCCATTGGAAAAAAATTATAAAATTTGAATGTCTTATGTTAGTTTTGTCTTTGTAAGATAGGCTGCATATGAAAATAACATGCAATCGCTGAAGCAGGTTAATATTTGTAATTTAATGCTAAACTATCTCCTAAAAAGGTAAAATGTTCTTGTTCCCTTTTGGTTTGTTGGAGATTATAGGGAACTTCTGGTATTCACAGTAATTTTATGGATAAAATGTATAAGCTTAGGAAATCTTGAAAATTTAGAAAGTCTTGGAAGTTAAATCTTAAATTTAGTAGCCCTGAATGAACAGTCATTTCAGTAGGTAGTTAACTTGTTGGTTTCATTTTTTTGTTTCAACTAATATTTATTATATGTATTGTCCTCGGCAGAAAGGACTTAGGACAGAGTTCCTCATCTCCTAGAGCTTCCATTCCATAGAGGTCTGTTGAGTATGAAGTGTTGTAACTTAGTCATTCATGTAAAGTGGTTTCTTTCCATTTGCTGTGTCGTATTTCCTATTTACATGATGCTGATGAGGTCTGAGTAGATATGATGAAGCTTTATTTTGAGTCATTCTCTCTGAATTGTGGCTTTTAATGAGCTATGTGGGTAGGCTGAGCAGGGTGTCCTGGCATTTCATGGACGAGTGGAATGAAAACTAGTAGTTGTTCAGTTAACTTGGGATACTCCCCTTAGATACAGACACCACAGAATTCATGATATAAGTGGTTTTGTAAAAGTGGTTACAGCCTAAACATGTCTGTGTTACAATGTGTGCATTATCAGTATATTCAGTATGAAGAATGGAAGACCACGTGCCAAAAAGGGTAATTTTGTTTATAGTAATAAATATTGTGAGCTTGCTTTAGTCAAAGGGAAAATACATTTGGCCTGTTAAATCTTCTGACACTTAGCTAGTTACGATTTTTCTTCTTTAATTTGGATATCTTAAGGTGGGAAGATATGAAGAGGATACTGTATCTGATTTGTAGTTTCCTATTTCAAACTGATATCTTAGGAATGCTTTACTACGGTGGCTTTTCATTGGAAATTTTAATAGTGTGGGTGGTTTTAATATTTTATAAAGACCTAGAAGTAATGGCCCCAATATGTATTCTAAGTCCCATCCCCATTGTTTCAGACCTAAGGGAAAAAACAACACTATATGTTCTGTGAGTTTCCACAGAGTTTCCATGGGCCGTACATACTCTGTAGTTAATGAAATGCTTATAAGCTAGGGTTGCAGGTTGTTTTTTTTTTTTTACATACACTTTTAAGTACGTACAAAATAAATATCACTAGTGAGGGCGGGTGACTCTAAATGTGCCACTAGACAGGACACTCCACCTAGGTTGTTTTCTGGTTGAAAATGCATAATCTAAGTTTAATCATTAAGAAACATCAGACCAAAAATGAGTAATGTTCTATTAATAAAAGGGATAGTGGGGCCTATATTTTTAAATATTATTGTCATAAAAGACATCAAGGCTAGCAAGACAGGACAGCTCGAAGCTAGCTGTATTTGACCTTCAACGGGTTCTGGTACCAAGAAGTGGGAAGGCTGTAAGGGACAGTATTGGATTAATTCACAAAAAGTGGAATACAGGTAGTAGATATAAGTATTCCTTCGATGTAAATTTACTGAAGCTGTTAACTAGTGTGGTTATATAAGAGAATACCTGGATTAGGAAGTACATATTGAAGTATTGACAAGTAAGAGACCATAAGAGACCACAATCTAGGTGACGTAGGTGAGGTGGAACCATGTATGTTTGTGTGTGTATATAGAGATGGAAAGGAGATTTAAAAATATAAACAGAAGTACATCTCAGTTTGCAATTTTAATAATGTTATTAACCATCTTTTATTTCTCAGGAAAGCAAAATAGATGAGCACCATTTTGTTGCAGTGGCTCTTAGGAAACCGGATGGATCTAGACAACAGGGTGTAAGATTTCTCTTACTTGTTACTAAAAAGCATGAATCAATGTTGAGTTTGTTCTTTATTGATGGAAACAATCACTTTGATTTCTATCAGATTAGAAGTGTTTGTTTAAGATTATAGATTTAGAAGTGTTTTTCATTATCAAATCCTTAAGATCATCTGGGGTTTCACAGAAATTTTTTAAAAGCGTGTTACCTATTTCTTCACAATCAAGAATATTACAAAGGAGAAATTTTGGTAGTATTTTCCTAGCACTTATATTTCAGCAGAAGTTCAAGATAACTTCTTTGAAGTTCACAATGTCTTTGTCATCTTCTCAGTGGTTTATTTCCCAGTGAACTGGGGCTGTGTGGGATGTTGAGTAATGGCATTATCTGGCAGGTTGAATGCTTACCCCCTTCATCATAATCTTCCAAATTATTCCCAAGGTTCCAGGCTCAGACGTGTGAGAGACCGTGTGTCGTGTTGTGACAGAACATGGGTCTCTGTTCTTCCCATCAGCCTGTGTTTGCTTTCTTCTGCTCTTAATTGCTATGTGAAGAAATTAAACAAACACCCTTTGGGTCAAGGACCCTCAGCCTCCATATCCATAGTTGTGATTCTGCAGAAGTACTGTTTTAAGAATCCTGGTAGTGTTAGGAGACTCGAAGCTGCATGCATGTCTCTGTTTACAGGGAACCCACGTCAGGCACCAGAGCACCACCAGTATGTGTGTGTCATTACCTCCAGCACAGTAACTCTGCACGCACCCCGCTTCTGATAAATCAGAGGATTTAGTCTTCATAGCTTAGGTAAAGGGGCGGCTTGTTAATGTTGGGCCTCTTAACCTGAAGCTGTTGTGGAGCAGGTTTTCTGTCCTACTGCGAAAGTGTCAGCCTCACACCGCGGGGGGAGGGGGTTTCTGTAAGCTGCCACTTGGGTACCTGCACTGCCTCCTCATGGTCTCCCTGGGGAGAGCCCCTTCAGGCAGCATTGATGTAGTGGGAAAAGGACGGGAGGACTGGCCAGCACACCTGGCTTCCAGCCCACGTCTGCCATTTTAACCTGTGGTGAACTGGCATGGAGTGCTGGACCTTCTTGAGTTTCAGTTTCTCCATCCACAAAATTAAGATGAGGTAAACCCATCAGCATGGTCATGAGTCATAAGTCATATGAAGTGGGTACTGGACCTTGTTATAGCACAGTATGAAATGCAAATACTCCCTCTACCAGAGTAGATCAGGTAGTAAAGAGGGTCTACATTGGGTTGTTGTGAATCTCTATTTGAGAACATGATGCATAGTTTAGATAGAGTGTTGAATGAGTCCTTTCCTGTAGAGGTGCTGCGTCCGCATCTCTTGTGTTCGTTCTTAGGGAACTTTATCACATCTACCCTCCAGAGTGTTCTCAGAACTTTGCATTGTGGCCCTCCTCATCGGAAAAACCTAACTGCTTATTAAAAGTCACATATTAAAAATAAATAAATAAAAGTCACATATTTTGTGGATCCTTTTAACTCATCTATCAGAATTTTTGGATGTGTGGCTCAGAAATCTACATTTGAAACAAATACCTTGGGTTATATACCAAAAAAGTTTAAGAATTAGGGTATTTCTTACTTTTCTTACCTTGTTATATTGGCAACACTGACATGAGTAATTAACAGTTCTCTAGAAATTCCACTATGTTGTAGTTTAAAATTACTGACCTCTAATAATTTGGTCTTATTTCTCCTTTTCCTAATAATGAAATTGTAAGATATTAACATGAAGTAAAACAACGAGGTAATCTATTCTTTTCCGTTTTAGGTTCCACCTCAAGATGATTCTAAACCAACTCAGAGGCAGTTTACTATTCTCACCTTTAATGATTTAATATCATCTGCTGTTCCTATGACCCCCGAAGATCCTTCATTTTGGGACTGTTTTTGCTTCACAGAAGAAATTCCAATACGAAATGGTACAAAGTCATGATAGGATTCCCTGAGTAACAAAGGAAAATGAAAACTATTTGTAATCTTCTGTATTCACTAAAAAATAAATGCCTGATTGTATCAAATTTTATTTCAAAAACCAGTTTTTAAAGAACAACTTTTCCTATTAGAAACCGCAAGCTGTCAGTTCAGGATAGCTCACTAGGATATGTGTTTCCTCTTCTTTTCCCCCAAATTGCACTGGATTGACAAGTAGAAAAGGTAGCAGAATCCTGAAGTGATAAGTGCTTGTTGTAGAAAAGAATAGAAAATACAAATAGGCAAGAAGGAAACATTTAAATTCTTACCTTTCTGCGATCATGATTCCTAAAACCAGAAGTATCTTTCGAGCCCTCCTTCTAGGCAAATAAATCCATATTGGTACACTTTTTTTTTTAATGGAAACATGGTGGTGTATCTTCTTTTTATTGTCTTAACTGCACATATTCTGGTCATCATCAATAATTTGTGGCACAACCGGCAGGCACTAGAGGCTTCTGCTGTATAGTTCATATCAGGATGCTTTTGACCAGAGGTAATCGTGTCCAAATACAATGAACTTGAGTAGCCAGGAGCACGTCTCACCTGACGTCACACAGTGCAGAGGTGCCCTCGAGGACACTTGCTTGGACCAGAGGTAACCGTGTCCAAATACAATGAACTTGAGTAGCTGGAGGCATGTCTCACCTCCCCTCACAGAGTGCAGAGGAGCCCTCCAGGACACTTGCTCTGCTTGAGCCTCAGTTTGTTGGTTTTGCCTTCGGCTTCTCTCCCTCATCGTAAGAGCTGCTCTTGTAACTTCAGCTTCAGCCCTTCGTAGATTAGTATCTAACAGGCAGCTGAGGCCATTTCACCTCCCATGTCTCATTGTGTCAGGGAAGAGGGCTTGCCCAAATCCCGGCATTTCCCCTGACTTCCTGTTGATTCAGATCTCTGAGAAAGCTGTCATCCCCTCCCACATTGTGCACCTCTGTGAGAAGTGGACTCTGGGTAAGGGGGAGGCTGAGGGGTGGGGGCAGGGTGGCGAGCAACCTTGGTGTGGTGGTCGGGGGCATTTATCCTGCTGCCTGAGGCCTAAGTCAGGTGTGCTGTGGCCCACAGACTATCTCTGGGTTGGGCTTTCTGTCTGCACTTTAACTACCAGCAGTGGTGCATGGATGATGGTCCTGTAACCACGTTGTGAGTTCCATGCTTACTTGAGGCCGTAAGAAAGCTTCTACAAGTGGCCCACAAGGCTTGAGCATTTTTAGAGCTCTGTGAGTATTGCCAGATGACTCCAGCAAGGCCCCACACCTTATTACATGTCTGGTTGTTGTGTGTGTGACACCCTCGCTCCCGCCCCCTCTCCCATACACAATCTCCCTGGTCAGCTGTAGATACTATCCCTTTTAAAATTTAATCTTTGCCAATATAAGTGAAAAATGGGATCTTATTTTTTTAATTTGTATTTCTTTAATTACAAATGAGATTGATACATTGGTGGTGCTTTGGGCTGTTTTTATTCCTTTCTTATGAACCACTTTTTGTTGTCTTTGTCTGTTTTAATTTAGCAAATAGGACTTAGAGTGGGAACATAATATATAAGATGCCAAGACCGTCATGTCAATGGCAAATCTCTCATGGCTGTAGTGCATGTCTTGGGGAGTTAAAGTCTTGTTACTGTTAAATATCAAGAAGTGAAATAATTTCATTGTTTTGTTACTAAAATTAAAAATTGTGTGTAAATTGTATAAAGTTAGATACTTCGTAAAAGAAAAATTGGAATGTTTTGTAATTTTTTATTAAGCATGCCCAAATATCCCACGCGTAGTAGATAATGTGTTTTTAAAAGATCAAGTAGCATCTAACACAGGAAACGTTGTTATTCCCAGCATGAATGTAATGGTGATATGAAAATCTGTCATTTGTCTTGTCATGATAATAAAGCTGTTACCTTTAGTGAATTTTTATGAGCCAGGCACTGTGCTAGATTCATGCTTTGTTTTTCTGTTTTTTAAAGTTACACATAGTTTATAGAGTCAAACATTTGTAGGTTTGTTTTCTGAGTAAAAAATGCCACCACCTTGACCTCACCCCTATGTCCTACCCCCAGGGCAAGCTTTCTTAGTTATCCATTATGATACCTTCCAGTAAGTGTGCTTACATTCCTTTTAATGTTTCCATAGTAGGTGTTCTTTTCATTCCTAGTGTCAGGCTTGGGCCTCTGCTTCCCATCCACTGGATGCTTCCTTCCTGTCCTCCTTTTGGCCCAGCAGGCCTGTATTGTAATTTGGTGCTTTCATTGCTGACAGACTCAATGTTTGCACTGTGAAGATGATGGAATGCTTTGCACAGCCCAGTGATGTTCTCTTTATGCTCTCCATACAGGATTCTTAGTTCATGAGTTAACGGTTGGCTCTATACTTGGTACAAATGTGACCCCAGACTCTGCTGGGTGTATGAATATCCTCTCTGTATGTGTAGATATGTCAGTACGACCAGTTCTATCTTTTTTTCATTTCATTTCTGGGCAGTCTGTTTTGTCCAGTCTGGATATGGTTCCTTCTGTGGCTGTGACACCTGTCATCCTGAAATAACCTCTCAGCATCTCCTCCCTGGGGGTTGTTAGCTTCTCCTCTCTGTTGGATTCCCTGATTTCTTCGCATTTCCTATCTCCCATCTTAGCATTTCCCCAGGTAGCTCCCTAAGAACAAAGGGAACATAGGAGATACATTGATTGAGACACTGTATGAGGAAGGGGCGTTTCCCCTTACACAGATGGGTGTGAGAGATTTAGCTGCTGCTTACACAGATTGCTCATCCCCCTTGCCACCAAAGCACAGTATTTGGTCCTGCTAATGGTCGCATCCTGTGCTGTGCTGGACCACAATGCTGTTGATTCGTAACCATGTTTTGCTGAGTTTAAATTCATTTGCATTATAGCATGTTGCTTGCATGCATTGGTTTCTAATAAGTTTGCTGCATGGGAACTGGTGAATTGATTGGAAAAATGGATCTACATAGGTACATGTGCATATTCGCAGGAATTTTCACTACTCAGTATCCAACTCAGAAAACCATTTAGATTTGGGTAAAGTAGCCCCTCACTGGCTGAACTATTGCCATTCGAACTTGAAATAGGTTTATGCATAAATATGCCATGTACCTTGGATCAAAAATATGCCTGAAAAAAATTCCATCTGTCAGTTCCCAATCACAGGAGATACAAAGAGGTGATTTCGTTTTATGGGGAAATAAGTGAATTCAAGGTCAGCAAAGGTCTTTCTTTGCACGTAGATCAGTTAATATCAAGTGGATTCTTGAGGTACCTACTACCTCCCTTTGTACATGCTTCAGGAGTGTCAAGCTAGTCCATCCTCACAACCTTATAGAGAAGGTTGTATTATTCCCATTTCACTGATGGAATGAAAGGTACTGTGATGTTAAGCAACTTATTAAAAATGCCTCCTTTGAATAGTGGACTTGATATTTGAACCATATAGGCTAGATTCAGAGTCTGAACTCCGTCCTACAAAATCCAGTGGTATGCTGGAAAATGTTTTTGCAAGCCATCCTGGGGTGGCTGATGTTGCCTGGGGTCCTTCAGGCAGTAGCTTTTGCTGATTTCATGAAATAATGCTGCGTGTGTAATTCCAGGTTAAACTGCTGTTTTGCCATATTTACTTCAAACTGTTCCTCCCACCCCATTCCCCTTGGCCTTCCCTCTCCAGGGAGACCTCTATCACTTGTAGTTTTATGGTCTTACCATAAAAGGTAATCGTGTCCTTTTGATTGTGAAGGTCCAAGGATTGTGTCCTTGTGATTCTGCAGAAGTACTGTTTTAAGAATCCTGGTAGTGTTAGGAGACTCGAAGCTGCATGCATGTCTCTGTTTACAGGGAACCCACGTCAGGCACCAGAGCACCACCAGTATGTGTGTGTCATTACCTCCAGCACAGTAACTCTGCACGCACCCCGCTTCTGATAAATCAGAGGATTTAGTCTTCATAGCTTAGGTAAAGGGGCGGCTTGTTAATGTTGGGCCTCTTAACCTGAAGCTGTTGTGGAGCAGGTTTTCTGTCCTACTGCGAAAGTGTCAGCCTCACACCGCGGGGGGAGGGGGTTTCTGTAGTTTCCATTTGTATGCACCCCTACTGGATGTGGTGTCCTGTACATTTAGCTTCTAAATGGGGTGGAAACTCAGGATGGGGTCTCTGGGTGTTACTTAAAAGTGCAAACTTCTCAGATGACACATATTCTTGGGATGGGCAGTGGTGTGCCAACAGTGACACTGCACAACTTCCAGAGGCATGCATTTCATCTAAGTCTTTGGAAAAACTCTTAAAAACAATACAGATCTAGTTAGAAGCAAACAAACTTGCCCCTGTTTTAAGACAAAAGGCAGAGGAAGGCATCAGAGGAATTCTGCCTGGGAGCATACAGTCCCTGTTCCTGAAGGGTCGTTTTTCCCTCGAAAAGTTGGAAAGGAACTAACATTGTGAGGAAAGAAAGTAACACAGAATACGTAAGCAAAGGAGAGCCTGATGCTGAGCGTAATGGACCTTCAGAAGAGTTTCCAGACATGGGCTGAGTCCGCTCCTGCTGCCTGGACCTGGAGCAGCAGGCAGGAGCTTGGTGATCCGACAGCCCCCTCACTTTGTTCCATGCGTGCTTCGCACCTTCCAGTACCCTCGCCAGTGTTGTGTGAGCAGGAAGCCTGCTCAGCCAGCTGCTCTCCCCATGTAGACCCGTTCTCCATCCTTCACCCTGCTTGGTACGCGGGAGGCAATTAATTATATGCACCGTATTAACAAGAATCTCCTTTCCTTGTTCACTTTTGCAAATGGGAGAGGCCATTAGGGAGAGACTGGACGGTCCATGTGTTTATTCTTGTGTCTTTCTCCCTGCTGGGCAGTGGTTTGAAGGTACTGTAAGGCTTCCTCCTCCACAGTTTGCTTGTCCTGGTTTCAGTTACTGCTGCCAACCTGGAGGGGAAGCAGGTGACCCTCCTGAGAAATCCTCCTGATAAGGCCACAAAGCCCGTGTCCTTCACATCATTTCCTCACACAAACTTGTTACCATCTCATCATCACGAGAAGGGTGTGTATAGCACAAGGTATTTTGAGAGGGAGGCAACATTCTCATAACTTGATATTACAGTATATTGTTTTAATCATTCTATTTGCTCATTCATTACTGTTGTTACTAGAGATTATTTTTAATCTCTCACCGTGCTTAATTTATAAATTAAACTTTGATATAGGTATATGTGTGTAGGAACAAAGACAGCGTTTGTAGTTTGAGGTGTCTACTTGGGGTCGTCTCCAGATACAGATCTCACAGTCAGGAGGCACTTTTCCTTGCATTTTCTTAGAAGAAATATCTCACTTTTGCTGAGTGCAGCCTGCTTCTCCATCTCTTACAGATTTCTTTCATCCTTGCCTGTGCTCCTCACACACTCCTTTTGGATGTGCCATCTGTTCCCTGTTGGGATCCTGAATAAATAGTAATTTGAATCATGAGTAGCCCCAGGAAACAGCCTCAAAGTGGGATTCCGGGATTGGATTGCTCTTCTCTTTGATGGATATAGAAATAGCTTCCTTGGTGGTGGAACTGGATACCCATGGCCACAGGTGATTTCATGCTTACATTTTTACAAATGGTGGTGTGGAGTGGTGGAGGATAGCGGGTTGGAGGACCACACCGAGGGCTGTGGCATGTCGTCACTATGGCCGTGGTAGGGGTTACAGAGACTGTCAGGAGGCATTTGTTTTGGATATCTAGGGTACGCACATGGAAAGAGAGCAGGTTGAAAACAAGGGCAAAACATGAGAAAACTTAAGGCAGCATGAGGGGATTATCTTGTCTTTTGTTGCCAACAGAAGCAGCCCCTCTTGTCTGAGGGAGCGTCTTACCGCACCCTCCACACCCCTCCCAAGAGAAAAGGTTTCAGTGACTTCACCTAAGACAATTCTCTCATGAAGGATAACAGTAATCCTCAGAATCCTTGTTGTCATCCATCTTTACTTCCTGGAAAGTAATAAGATGCCAGCATACCCCAAACAGAAGTCTAGGGTCAGGTCCAAGAGAAGATGCTTGTGCAGAAGAGTTGCAGGATATCACCACTGAACACTGGCATGGGTCTAGGTAGGGATGAGTATGGGAGTTTGAGTCTTAAGAGTATTTAATCAGAAGGGAGGACAGAAGGTGGACCAACACTGACACAGGTGCACTCCCACAGAAAGTGTGATGTAATGTGTTGCCTTGAGAACCTGGGCATGGTGGGAATAGTGACTCAATGACCGCCTACAGTCGATGAGGTTGATATGCTGGAACTTCCCTGGCTCACTATAAAAGGAAGACTCTGAAATCCTAGGGAGATGGAAATGTGGGTCTGTTCTGTGGACACCTGCTTTTTTACCACAAACTTGGTGGCTTACAAGAACTAAAACATACTCCCTCACAGTTCTGGAGGCCAGAAATACAAAGTTAGTTTCACTGGGATGAGCTTAAGGTGTCGGCAGAGCCGTGCTCCATTAGGACACCCAGGGTTCTCAGGGGGAGAGTCTGTTCCTTGCCTCAGGTAGTTCCTGGTGGCTGCCTTCGTCCTTTGGCCTGTGTCCACATCACTCCAGTCTGTCTCCATGGACACACTACCTCCACTTTTGTCAAATCTCCCTTTGCCTCTCTCCTAGAAGGATGCTTGGTATTCCATTTAGGGCTCACTCAGGTAATCCAGGATTCAAGATTCTTAAGTAAATCTGATTGATGGGACTTAGATTCCAGGCAATAGGACTTAATTTCTTTGATGGCCATTATCCAAACTACTACATGTCCTTCCATAGAGATATGATTAAACGGTGCTAGCTCCATGCCATGGGATGCTAACCAGTGAGCAATGAAAAGGAACACACTATTGATACATATTATAGCCTGAATGAATCTCCAGAGAATTATGCTGACAGGAAAAAAAA